CCGCTCTTCACTCGCATCCCAAAGTAAGGGGAACAGCCGAGGCTTTGCTGGTTAGATCCTCTCTTCACCGACTACACGCGTCTCTATGAAGGTGTAAATCACGCGCTTTTGTGGGCATGAGGTGTTCACGCTCGAATTCTCGCGCGTGGATTTCGTAGTGATCCATGGTGGGACCCATTAGCCAAGTATCCAGCTCTGCATTTGTCGGGATTTCTTATAGATTTTCCACACATGGATATTTAACTGTGCAGTGTGTTTTGTATGTATAAATTCGTACACTTTGTTAATTTTTAGTTTTAGTTTTTAAATTACTTATCATTTGTCATATGCTTTTTGCAAGTTTACCAAAGAGAGAAATAAAGAAAAAAAAAAACAGGAAAATATCTTCATAGGAAATTATCATGGAGACAGGAAACGTGGATGGGCCGGAGGGTAGTGGTCGAAATCTGTAAAAAATCTGCAGCATTTAATGATTTTCTCCAAATGCATGTGATGTGTTTATCTTATTTTTTTCCAACCCAGAACTAATATTTTTTTAAAAAAAATTATAGAAACTTATTAGATATCCAATATATATATATATATATCAATAGAAAATTGTGGAGCGAAGGGACGTCAGATTTTTCTCCAAGAAAGTCAAAAAGCTTGCAACGAAAAGGTGACAAAATGACTTCACTCTCTTTGTCCTAAGACTCCCTTGGACCATTATTTTCTGATTTTGGGTTCATCATTTTCGGGTTTTGACATTATTTTTCACTAATCTGATCAATTCTTAAATAATATCCCATTAGAGACAAGACAAAAGACAATTAAATAAAGTATGAAAGGGGATCAAATCGAACTCGGGTTTCTCGATAAATAACCCAATCCTCAAGTCACTATCTCTGGAAGTGACTTTCTAGTTTTTCTCTGGTGGTAGAGAAAATGAAGTCGGCGACGGCGAACATTGCGTTTCCGGCTATGGCGGTGACTTTGATGTTCTTGTGGGGAGGCTGTTTGACGGCGAATGTGAGCTACGACCACCGCTCTCTCATCATCGATGGTCGCCGGGAACTCATCATCTCCGCCGCCATTCATTACCCGCGTAGTGTTCCCGCCGTGAGTTTTTCTTTTTTCTCCCTTCGTTCCACTGGGTTTCTGTTTGGTTCACGGGAAAATGGGTTTGTCAATGGGGAAGCTAAAGTTCGAAGCTTTCTTGTTTTGCTGAAGTAAAGTTCGTAGCTTTTGATTCGTCTGTTTTGTTTGTTCATCTTGCGTGTGCCATTGGTTGAAAGGGTTCGATTTTTTTTTTAGGGATTTCGCTTATTTGCTGATCTTTTTTTATTCCGTGTTGGGTTCTCTCCCGGGAAAATGGGTGATTTGCGATTGGTATTCTAGAGATTTTCCGAGAAATTTGGGTTCCTGAGATTAAGCACAAACGATTCCGGCATTTAAAAAACCTTCAGACATATATCTTGGTTTCAGATGTTTGTGTTCTTTTGGTCCTCTGTCTCTTCTGGTTTCTTCTCCTGACTCCTGAGATTAAGACCAAGGATAATGTGTTTTCTGCAACATGAGATGTTGATTTTCATGGATACAGGAAAAAAACACATAATATTCTCTCTGTTCTTTAGACCATTCTGGTCTTAGCTATGGCGCAATAGCTTATTAATGAATGGTTGTATCACATTGGCAGATGTGGCCATCACTGGTTCGAACAGCCAAAGAAGGAGGATGCAATGCAATAGAGTCTTACGTGTTTTGGAATGGCCATGAGCCTTCTCCAGGAGAGGTGGGATCTCTATAGCCCTTTTGTTTCTGCATTTTAAGACATCAACCACTTCTGATCCTTGATACTGTCCGTTGATTTTTTTTTTTCTGACAAGAGACTGGTTTGGTTTCCACTTTCCAGTATTATTTTGGCGGCCGGTATGATCTGGTGAAGTTCATCAAGATCGTGCAGCAGGCTGGAATGTACATGATTCTGAGAATCGGCCCTGTTGTTGCAGCCGAATGGAATTTCGGGTACGCTTTCTTTAGTTAATTGGGAATAGACTCCATCCACAATTCTCAGGTAGAGAGAGCATTAGTAAAGAAAACGATTCTTGATTTCGAAACGCAGACACAAAGACTGATATTTGAGCAGAAAGATGCGATCTTTTTGAATCTTGTGGCACTAGTTATGGTAAAGTTTTGGTTGTAATTGTGGTTCAGAGGAGTTCCGGTTTGGTTGCATTATGTGCCAGGAATAGTCTTCAGGACCGATAACGGGCCATGGAAGGTACATTCCATGTAATCTTAAAAACACTTGAAGAACTTTGAAAATTTGTACAGATACTAAGTCGATCTTCCTATCGGTTTTCCAGCACTACATGCAAAATTTCACGACGTACATAGTGAATCTGATGAAGAAAGAGAAGCTTTTCGCACCACTAGGAGGCCCTATAATCTTGTCTCAGGCAAGCAAAATCATGATTGATTCTCTGTCATGTCTCCCCGTTGGACATGTTACCAATCAACATAAAAGGTCTTGTTTCATACTTAGGTTGAGAACGAATACGGGTACTATGAAGGTGCGTATGGAGAAGGAGGGAAACGGTATGCTCAATGGGCTGCCAATATGGCGATTTCACAGAACATAGGTGTTCCATGGATGATGTGCCAACAATGGGATGCTCCCCCGGCCATTGTAAGTGTTATCTTGGCTTTCTGTTCTTATCAACTCGAGTCTTGATACTGAATCGGAAACACCAGAACATGGTTTCGGGTTCGTTTTCCAGTTTGTAGAAAACAAACCTCATTTTCAGACATTCTTCGGGTTTGATCTTTGTCATCCTTTTGCATACAAGTAGAATGGAGGAGAGCAAGAATGTTCCTTTCGGGTGTATGATCTGTTGATATGCATCGATTTTTATGTTTTTCTTCTTCTTTCATCTGCAGATTAGTACCTGCAATTCCTTTTACTGTGACCAATTCACACCGAATACACCGGATAAGCCCAAGATCTGGACCGAAAACTGGCCGGGATGGTAAAAGTCTTTATCTTCTTGACCTGTTTGAAGTTTTTTTAGGCTGACTTTCAAGTTTTTCATGTCTACTTTCACCTAACCTAGGCTTTAACGGTCGTGAACATCTTCTGTTTCTCCTTCTTAGGTTCAAAACTTTCGGGGCCAGAGACCCTCACAGACCAGCCGAAGACGTGGCTTTCTCCGTTGCTCGTTTTTTCCAGAAAGGTGGCAGTGTTCATAACTATTACATGGTATGTAATACATCATCTTTTTTTTTTTCTATCAGATTTCATCAATGGTCGAGATTTCCGGATATTGAATAATCATGTTCATATCTGTTGTTAATGTCTTTTTCTCTATCTTTTATATTCATGTTTGTGCAGTACCATGGAGGAACAAATTTCGGCCGTACTGCAGGTGGACCGTTTATCACAACAAGCTATGACTATGAAGCTCCAATCGATGAATACGGTTAGATTCTTCTAATCTTTTCTCAAATATTATAAGAATTTACATGATGATTCCGATATTTTGCTGTTATATTTAACGATTGGCCAATCATTTCTCGTCTTTGAAGGATTGCCGAGATTTCCAAAATGGGGACACCTTAAAGAGCTCCACAGAGCTATAAAGCTCTCTGAACATATGCTTCTCACTGGTGAACATAGTAATGTTTCATTAGGTCCTTCCCTCGAGGTTGATATTACCGGGTTTTAACCGCTTCTTGTCTGAAACTTATGTTTTTGCTCAGATTATGTGTAATGAATTCGCTTCTGATTTATTATTTTTTTGCTTCTAGGCTGATGTCTACACTGACTCTTCAGGAGCTTGTGCTGCATTTCTCTCAAACACTGGCAATAAAACCGACATGACTGTAGTGTTCCGAAATGCTTCATACCACCTACCCGCATGGTCGGTCAGCGTTCTGCCCGACTGCAAGAACGTGGTTTTCAATACCGCAAAGGTGAAAACTTTCCTTCTTCTGTCGTCATTTGATTGGGTTCTTGATTCGATTCTTAGAAAAACTTACCGCATATACTTATACGCCATTTTCAACTGCGATAGGTAACTTCACAGACCTCCAAGGTTGAAATGCTACCCGAAGATTTGAAGCAGAATGGGAAGAAAGATCTGGAATGGCAAGTGTTCACAGAGAAACCAGGGTTATGGGGAGAGGCCGATTTCGTAAAAAACGAACTTGTCGATCATATAAACGCCACAAAGGACACAACAGACTATCTGTGGTACACTACAAGGTTAGCTACCTGCTTCCAGTTTGTGTTCTTGAGATCAAACACATAATTATGAGATCAGTCTATTATGAGATCAAACACATTATTGTTGAATGCAGCATTACAGTGAGTGAAACTGGAAGAAGCCCGGTTCTCTTTATCGAGTCAAAGGGGCATACTCTCCATGCTTTCATGAACAAGGAGTTCATAGGTACTTCATAACTATCATCGTTTTTTCTACTCATGAAACTTTTTCATATCATATCTCATACATTAAGATTTTGATTCCAGGTACCGGGACAGGGAACGGGACACATCCAACTTTCAAATTCAAGAAATCGATTACTCTCAAACGAGGCAGAAACGATATAGATCTGCTTAGTATGACTGTCGGTCTTCAGGTATTGAATTTTTTTTAACTGTTTTATCATGTAGTAAAAGACTGTTTCATTGTTGAAAGATTGGATTCCTCCTGCCAAATCTCTCCTTGATGATATTTCTTGCTCTGGCTCTTGCTCCTATAAGAATGCGGGTTCCTTTTACGAATGGGTTGGAGCCGGGCTTACCAGTGTCAGAATCGAAGGTCTTAACAACAGCACGTTGAATTTGTCAGAAAGCAGTTGGTCCTACAAGGTTGTTTCTTTTTTCTGCCTACATTTGCACATCGTTACCTTCCTACGATATGTAACTTTATCTGATCGATCTCTCAACCCCATTTCTGAAATCTTGCAGCTCGGCGTTCAAGGGGAACACTTGGGTCTGTCCAAGCCTGGTAACTCCGGGGCTGTGAACTGGACTCTGACCACAAAACCTCCAAAGAAACAACCTTTGACATGGTACAAGGTATGAACTCGTTGGATAAGAACCAGAGGTAACAGATTTCAGATCGGGGTTTTGTCTTAGCTAAAACCTTGGAGCTTTTGGGCAGGTTCTCATAGATCAGCCTTCTGGGAATGAACCGGTTGGTCTGGACATGCTCGGAATGGGGAAAGGCATGGCTTGGCTAAACGGAGAAGAGATAGGAAGATACTGGCCAAGAAAAGCTAGAAAGAACTACCCGAACGACGAATGCGTAAAAGAATGCGATTACAGAGGCAAGTTCATGCCTGACAAATGCCTCACCGGATGTGGAGAGCCATCTCAGAGATGGTACGATAAAGCCGTTATCTCTCCCTGTTTTCTTTGCATTTCCATGGGCAGATGAAGTCTGATACGTGGGTTTTGAGTAGGTATCATGTTCCACGGTCATGGTTCAAGCCCTCTGGAAACGAGCTGGTGATCTTTGAGGAGAGAGGGGGTGATCCCACCAAGATAAAGCTCTCAAGAAGGAAAGTAACCGCAGAAACCAGTTAAAATGACTGCAGAGAGAGAGAGAGAGATGGTTTTAAGATGTTCCTTCAAGTCTATGCAAAACATCTTCAAAGCTGAGATGCGTAGAGGGTTTTTTGTTTTTGTTTTCTCTCGGGCAATATTTTAATTTAGTTCTTCAGTTGTTACAGCTTCTAGGGGTGGGCACGCATAATAACCGAGAAAATTGAGAGATTTGGATTTGGATCCGGGAGGTTCGGTTATTTAGCTATAAGATTTATATCCGGTATTTGGTATTTACGAGTATCTGGGTACGGATATCCGGAATAATGGTCGGTTATTCGCGGGTATCCAGATCCGAATTTATTTAAGAAAAACAACAATATTTATATATAAAATTTTCAAAAAACGAAATATATTTATAAAAATTGACGAATTATGATAAAATATATAAGACAAAAGGAGATAATAAGAGAAATAATAATAAATTTAATTTTTTGAATTTATATTAAAACATATGAAATTATTTAATCTAAAATAATTATATTTTATAAAAATATTATATAAATATAAGATATAATTATTTATAATCATAATTGTCGAGTATTCGCGGGTATCCGATTTTAAAATTTTTATTATCCGGATTTGGATTTAGATTCACAGATATTGAAAAATCGAAATTTGGATTCGGATTTGAAAATTACGAGTCTCCTAAAATCGGGTATCCGTTAGACGAGTATCCGACGGATACCCGATTTTCGGATATTTTTGCCCAGCCCTAAGAGCTTCTTGGCTTTTCTCTGTCTGAAAGAATTGATCCGTTGGGGTGGTCATTCTGTTAATATATGGACGTTTTGGAGATATAAAACCCAAATAATTATATTTTCTAAAATGGGCCGAAACATGGGCCGAAATTGGGCCTTTTGTTCGACCCAATCATCTTAATAACGGGTCGGGTATTCGGGTCTACATCAGCTCGACCCGGGAAGGTCAGTCTTCCACTGATTTCCCTCTCTCTCACATTTCCTCGAACTCGGGATTTCATGAACGCAGAACTGAAATGAGATCTCTCCTTTACTTTGTATTGTTTCTTTTCCTCTGCTCCCAAACAGCATTCTCCTGGAAAAAGGAGGAGTTTCGCACCTGCGACCAGACCCCTTTCTGCAAACGCGCTCGGTCCCGTACTCCCGGCGCGTGCTCTCTCATCGCCGGCGATGTCTCCATATCCGACGGTAACCTTGTGGCCAAGCTCCTCCCGAAAGCTCCTGCTCAAGGCGATGGTGATCAGATCAAGCCGCTGATTCTCTCCCTCTCGGTTTATCGAGATGGGATCGTGCGGCTCGTGATCGATGAGGATCATTCTCTGGACCCGCCGAAGAAGCGGTTCCGAGTTCCCGACGTGATAGTGTCCGAATTCGAGGAAAAGAAGGTTTGGTTGCAGAGCGCAACGACGGAGACGATTGCCGGAGACACTAGTCTGTCTTCGGTGGTCTACGTATCGGACGGCTACGAGGCAGTGCTGCGGCATGATCCGTTTGAAATCTTCGTCCGCGAGAAATCAGGTGATCGACGCCGAGTTGTGTCTTTGAACTCCCATGGATTATTCGATTTTGAGCAATTGAGGACGAAAAATGATGGGGAGAACTGGGAAGAGAGTTTTAGGAGCCACACTGATTCGAGACCTTATGGTCCCCAATCCATTAGCTTCGATGTTTCATTTTATGATTCCAGTTTCGTTTATGGAATTCCTGAACGCGCCACTAGCTTTGCTTTGAAACCAACCAGGGGTCCTGGAGTTGAGGAATCTGAACCTTATAGACTCTTTAACCTAGATGTCTTTGAATACCTCCATGAATCACCATTTGGGCTATATGGCTCAATCCCATTCATGGTTTCACACGGGAAATCTGGTAAAAGTTCCGGTTTTTTCTGGCTGAACGCTGCTGAAATGCAGATTGACGTTTTGTCAAATGGATGGGATGCTGAAAGTGGCATTTCCTTTCCATCTAGCCAGAGCAGGATTGATACGTTTTGGATGAGCGAGGCAGGAGTCATAGATACGTTCTTCTTTGTCGGGCCAGAGCCGAAAGATGTAGTAAAACAGTATGCAAGTGTGACGGGTACTTCAGCTATGCCACAGTTGTTTGCCACTGGCTATCACCAATGCAGGTGGAATTACAAGGATGAGGAGGATGTGGAACAGGTGGACTCGAAATTTGATGAGCACGATATCCCTTACGATGTTCTATGGCTTGATATTGAGCATACCGATGGGAAGAGATACTTTACATGGGATAAAGTGTTGTTTCCTCATCCGGAGGAGATGCAAAAGAAGTTGGCTGCTAAGGGCAGGCGGATGGTGACTATTGTGGATCCTCATATCAAGAGGGATGATTCTTATTTCTTACATAAGGAGGCTACTCAGAAGGGGTATTACGTTAAGGATTCTTCCAGAAAAGACTTTGATGGTTGGTGCTGGCCCGGTTCATCATCTTACATTGACATGTTGAGTCCTGAGATTAGAACATGGTGGGGTGGCAGGTTCTCGTACGAGAATTATGTTGGTTCCACTCCGTCATTGTACATCTGGAATGACATGAATGAACCTTCCGTGTTCAATGGTCCAGAGGTATAACTTTTTTCCTCATTAACCCCGTCATGTTCTTTTGGTATCGTTTTCTATAATATTTTGCTATGCTTTACATGGGGTCTGAGGTCACGGGTTCAAATCCACCTCTCTACATTAAAACGTAGGGGTAAGGTGGCCTAGTATATTCCCTTCCCCAGCACCCCACTAGATGGGGATACGAACTGGGTTGGTCCTTTGTTTTTTTACATGACAAGCACGTTGATCCAGTACGGATTACCTTTTTCTCTGAATCTGTTCAGATATAACTCTTTTTTTTTTTCCTAGTTGCTTGCTTGCATCTGAACCGTATATGATGATTAGTTTTCGAATCACAAAACCTGTTATGATATTTGCATAACAACATTTCTCTGTCATTTCCTTGCTGGTGCCATGGTGAAATCGACTCTAGAAATGATTTTTGTGGCACCCTTTATTCGTTAGATACTACAATCTCAAGGCTGGAGCAAGTGTTTCAAGTGGCATCCTTCCATGTTTTTTGAGGGGTTGCATTAGATCCTCGGCATTTTTTTACTCCATAAGCTAGTTTGTTATGGGGCGTGTTTGTTGGTTCAGAAAATTGTTCCTTATGAAATTTTATTTCTAGATGAAGACCGACTTGTGGTTTTTCTTGAATAGGTTACTATGCCTAGAGATGCGTTACATGTCGGGGGCGTGGAACACAGAGAAGTTCATAATGCTTATGGATATTACTTCCACATGGCGACTTCTGACGGACTTGTCATGCGGGGAGAAGGAAAGGATCGGCCTTTTGTGTTGTCGAGAGCAGTCTTTCCTGGTACCCAAAGATTCGGAGCAGTCTGGACTGGAGATAATACGGCAGAGTGGGAGCACCTTCGGGTCTCTGTTCCAATGATCTTGACACTTAGTCTTACCGGAATAACATTTTCGGGTATGAATGATTTCCCGATCAAATTTCTATGGGCAGTTATTTCCCCGTAAATCACATAGAAGCATTCCTTTTCTTTCGCAGGTGCGGATGTTGGCGGGTTTTTCGGGAATCCTGAAACGGAACTGCTGGTTAGGTGGTACCAGCTGGGTGCTTACTATCCATTTTTCAGGGGGCACGCCCATCATGACACCAAGCGACGAGAGCCTTGGCTGTTCGGGTAAATATGCAGATCTCCTTTTGGCCTTTTCCTGTGAACTGCTTCATACTAGTATAAACGGTCCATGTCTACTCTGTACCAAAAAGCTTTTTGGTTCATTATAGTGATCGAATTTGGTGGTACTCTAAAATTCATCACTTCCGTTGATAATTAACCGATAAATTTGCTCTATCGAATTCATTGATATTTGCTTGTTTCGTTATCTCTCATTTTGTTTTCAGAGAGCGTAATACAGAACTCATGAGAGACGCCATACATGCTCGGTACATGCTACTTCCGTACTTCTACACATTGTTTAGAGAAGCAAACGTCACTGGTGTTCCTGTCGTGCGTCCCTTGTGGATGGAATTCCCATACGATGATTCTACTTTTAGTAACGACGAAGCCTTCATGGTCGGTAATGGTCTGCTGGTCCAAGGAATTTACACGAAGGTACTTTAGGGCCACTACTTTCTGCTTTCTATTTCCGATTATTCCCGGACTTGATTTCGTCTCGGTTCACATGAATTAGGGAGCTAAACAAGCGTCGGTGTATTTGCCCGGAAAAGAATCATGGTATGACATGAGAAGTGGGAAGGCATACGTGGGAAGCAAGATACACAAAGTCGAGGTGTCGGAAGAGAGCATTCCAGCGTTCCAAAGGGCTGGAACTATCATTTCCCGGAAAGACCGTTTCCGGCGAAGTTCTTCTCAGATGGACAATGATCCTTATACTTTGGTACGTATAGTTAATATATATAACCCTCGAGGCAAATTCATTTATGAGCTGACTGACCCTTTTTTTGTGTGAATGGTCATCTTTTTCTTTCCAGGTTGTGGCCTTAAACAGTTCACAAGCTGCGGAGGGTGAACTCTACATCGACGACGGCAAGAGCTTCGAGTTCAAACGAGGCTCCTACATCCACCGCAGGTTTGTCTTCTCGAACGGGCAGCTCACATCGTCGAACCTTGCTCCCGAATCTCGTTTCTCTTCCCATTGCACGATCGAAAGAATTATTCTGCTGGGTCATGCCAAGGGTCCAAAGTCTGCACTGGTGGAACCATCGAATCAGAAGGTAGACATCGAGATGGGACCAATCAGGCTGGGCGGGCTTGCAGGTTCGGGTTCAGGTGCAAAGGCCTTGACGATCCGTAACCCGGGCGTTCGAGTTTACGAAGACTGGTCGATTAAGATTCTGTGAATGAAATGAACCGCTTGATGTTTTTTTTTTCTGCGGTGATGAAAATGCCTGAGACTTCTTTTGTAAGGATTGAAGAAGTTGAGAATTTTGAACAAACTTAATCTAGAAGGCTATTACATAACGTATGAAAAACTCACTGTCAAGTAGTTTGAATACCAACACATTTTTATGAGCATATATATATATATATATATATATATGTGTGTGTGTGTGTATGCAACGAACAAGAATATATATTGACGATTAATTCTGGTTGAAACGGACAAGCACTTCATAATATGTACTAAAACCATAACATGGCTTATTATACAACGACATGGCAAATCCCAACGAGACTTAGAACCCACACCACATCACCAAGAAGACTTCCACCCAAAAAACAAAAATTGTACTAGGAGACAGCCGGGTTGGAATCTCACAGCGAGAGAATGGATGCAGCAGCCTGTTCCGACGTCAATACCGTAACCTCCTGAAATCACTTTGCGGCACACTGATATCACCTCCGTTTCCCACCTCTCTTTGACCCTGTTTCCCATGATAAAATCAACGAAAACCCCGTAGTAAACCATAATGTTCATGTTCGTGTTATGAGTCGGGTTCATTTACTAAATTCTGAAACCTTTAAATCTAATCTGACTGGTCTAACTGTCCGTTTGCTCTTAATATGTGTCAGATACCAAAAAACTTACAGTTTCGTCTGGAACGACTGCATATCTCTCTGAGGGTGACACCCAGCTCTTGCCTACACAAGTAGTTAAACCACATTATCAAGCTGAGAATTTGTTCTATCGGAAACAAAAAATTGAATTTGCATATTACCTGTTGATGGATCAAAGTTAGACGATTCTATCCGTTGCCCATTCGCTCCATCCACACTTAGAGGCTCTATTATCTTTGGAAAGTTCCTTTATATATGAAACCAAAATATTCATATCGTCAATAACCTGATAAGAACCCACCCCCGTACAGCTCAGCCATATTTGTCTATGGATTCTAGGGGGGAAAAGGTTTCAGCCATATTCACACCAAATGTCATGTTCTTAGTAAGTAAAAACATATTCGTCAACGAATCAGTTTAGCTTCGGAGCTATAGATTTTATCAATTGAATTATCTTGCAATTTTCTCTGTCACAGCCACAACCCGCGACATGCAAACAACAAACGAATTGGTAAACATGGATATGTTTTCTCCATTAAGTTAATACTTTTACCTGTCAACAGACTCTCCATGGCCCAGCTGACCATTTGTACCTCTGCCCCAAGAGAACACATTATTTTGTTCGCTGACAGCCAAGGTGTGTCTCCATCCACACGAGACTTGTACTATTTTCTGAGACGTGCAAAGGAAATCACACATTTCAGAAAAGGATAACCGAAATTGGTATTAGCCAATTTTCAATGTAACAAGCTGACTACAAAAACTTTTTTATAAGTACAATTGTAAGTAAACATACCTGGTCATTGGGAAATTTCACTTGCACAGGAGAACAATGATCTACATTGTCACCAACTCCTACTTGTCCAAACTGCTTGTCAAAGGATCCAAAACAATTAGAAGCTTGTCATAGCCAAGGGAATAACTTGAATAATCAAATGTACGACTATGAGCTACTATACCGGGGTACTTATTGAAAGGAAACAACTAATATCCTACAACCACATTAGTCTTAAGTGAAGGTGTGTATGTACTCCCAAATGAAGTACAAAAACAGTTTTTCATTCTTCCATCCAAGATATGGTCTGGACATGCATAAACCAAGTCAAGAAGCGGTGAGAGATACAAGGAAATAAATTCTTGACCTTATTCCAACCCCATCCATACAGCTTTCCATCTGAGGTCAGTGCCATTGTGTGTCTCCAACCTCCTGATATCTGGAAAAACAATCGAAGAAAATCAAAAGACAATCCAAACTTAGATGATATGGACTACAGCTAACATAGCACATAACAGAAACATCACCATTTCTTCACAGGGTGTACCCATAACAGAAACATCATCATTTCTTGAGAGGGCATTACCAAACAAGAAGTGATTATAATAAAATGGCTTCAGAGTGCCTAAGGGGAAACCTGCGATATAAATCCGTTGCTCAAGGCTTCCAGCTTGTGAGGAACAAGGTGATCTTCAAAGTCTCCATGTCCTAGTTGACCATATTTGCTCCATCCATAGGTGTACAATGCACCAGAGTATGAAACCGATATAGTGTGGCGCCATCCACAAGCAACCATTGTCATCCTCTCACCCTGAAATGGAATTCCAACAACTTTATCTTCAGAAAAAAAAAAGATAACCAATACAGGAAAAAAAAAAGAAAAGCAAATTGTAAACAGACAGAACAAAATAAAAGAACAGAGGGAAAATAGCAGCTGGCCAATAATGAGGTAACACAATATAAATGATCGATTAACAGACTAAACTCGATTTCACTCTCCGTCTAGGTTCAAGATGTCAAGAGTCTATAAATCACAAAACATTTGTTGTTCAAACATAGGATTCTAGAAGTCCCAAGTTCGCCCTGTATGATCATCAAATGGAGCTAGATGAAAAATGAGGTTGCCCTTCATTTGTCATTGCAAATCCATCACAATGCTAGCATAATGCAAAGCATCACTATGAGGAAAAATGACCTATACACCATACGACTGAGAGCAAGGGTCCTTTCGCAATTATCCTCTATATCCTTTACATAGTTTGAACAGTTATTAGATGCTTAAATCAGAGAAAGAGCAGAGTTTGGTAGTATACACCAACAGAGGCAACTCTTTCGGGTACCCAGCGGTCATTTCTGTCACCTAATCCCAAGTTTCCGTATCTCCCCCAGCCCCACCCATAAAGGTCACCATCTTCTGTAACTGCAGCAGTATGTTCGGCACCTGCAGCAACCATTTTGATTCGTATTCCCTGCACCACTTATAAGTGAGTCTTGATACGACAATGTAACACTAGAGATTGGCAAACTAATTTCATAAGATTGTAGTTGCTGAACGAATTATCTTCATTAAGTGGTCCCAGCATTTAACAATTGCAAACTATTGTTGCATATGATATAAAATTTAAATTGGTCAAAGGAACTTATAAACAACAAGTAGAAGGTGTGGGCCCCTAAAAATGGTGTTCGTAGCCTTTCAAAAAGTAGTGAAAGACAGGGAATAACATAACCAACTTCGGAAGGCATATATGCAGCTTTTCGAATATTATAGAAACAAAAGGGAAACACTGTTAGTAATATGGCATCGGAAGAACAAACCTCAAAAGCTTGAATCTTTTGAGGTACCAAAGAATCTTCTGTGTCTCCAAGGCCAAGTTGACCATTCTGGTTCCGTCCCCAACTTTATAGAAGAGTGAAGATGCATTAGACAACAGTGCATGAACTTGACAGTGGTTCAAAGGCAATGTATACAATAAAACAACTGAAATTGACTTTCCTTAACATCAATTGACATGATTTTGCAGGGTGAAACCATTGTCACGCTAATTGTGATGCGCAATTCATTTTTCTTTGTGATTGATTGGATAGAAAGAGAACATATATTAATAAGACAATGTACCTCTGCACCTCTCCCTCCATGGTCACGGCCAAACAATGGCTATCGCCACAAGCAATCTGCTTTATCCGAATCCCAAGCAACGCTTTGATTGGCTGTGGAGTAAACAAGTCGCTGGAGTTTCCATGGCCTAACCTCCCAAAATCACCCCTGCAGAAAAACATGAAAAGAGAAAATATGGATCCTGGAACTAGTAAAGAAATCTACAATAAACTCTCAACGGCTCTGAATAAGCAATAGTATGAAACAAGTCGCTGGTTCTCAGAATTTGTTCCTTATATAGCGTATGAATCTGGAGGAGCTCAGACGCCCTTATAACAAAGTAACGTAAACAGAGAAAATAAAGCTCAAGAAGAAAAAGTATGAGAACAAACCATCCCCAACTATAGACCTCCTTGTGAGACTCTGAATAAGTAATAGTATGATCAGCACCACAGGTAACAGAAACGATTCCATGGTCATCCAAAGCACTCAGTTGTGTTGGAGAAGGACGATCCTCTGCATCACCGTGGCCTAGCTGCCCATCCTCTCCTCGGCCCCATGAGCAAACGATGTTCCCAGCTATAAATTAAAGATCAAACCGAAGCAATTTAATATAAGATTTTGACATTATTTCAGACATATATGATTCCTTGCTTCTTAGTTGTATTCTAAACTTAGATGGCTTAAGAAGACGATGAAAAGGACTCAAAAGAACTGAAAGAAAAGAAGAGCAAAGCAAAACAAAACAAGCACAAGATACTCAAATAAACTATTAACTAATCGATATAGATTGTGTAGCAACTAAACTTAGAAACAACACAATCGGATTATCCTTTTCAGCTCAGTTATTTAACGGCCAACAGCACTGAGTTATGGCCTCTTAACTCACAATCTACGAAACCAAGTCAAGTACGCTATCTTCCGGTTAGTGTGGCTATATGATCACAAACAACTTGCATTTACATTATAAGCTTTTTTCTTCGGATGAAATGTTAACCATTTACACAGTACGCTTGCATTCACCTCGATCCAACACTTTCGGTTACTCGAGACTCACCAGATATCATCCAACAACTAAGTTCATCTCCTAGGACCCTACCCGTACAGATGATCCCTAAACAACCTCGTGATCAATTCTCAGAACTCGTTTCTCAGGTTCGGAGATCAATCAGGAAACGATGAAGAACACATTTCACGAAAACGACGTAGAAAAATCCGGCGAAACAACGGCATAAATCAAAGCATTAATCCCGAAAGATCCGGGATCATCATCTCCACGAAAACCTAACCGCCAAAGCAGACAAAACAAAAGAGAAGTAGAGCGTCG